ACACACACACACACACAAATCCACCAGAATTTGTCCACTCTCATGATTTTTAATGCATGGTATTCATGTTTCACATTTCCAAGTAAAGCTTAGTTCACAAATAAACAGTTTGTCCTCAGCTGCTCACAATCTGTTGCTGGTCTAGTACCGTTCTTGTTTGTTATTAAAGCAAGATGGCAATCAGGAATAGCTGATATATGGATATTAAGTAAATTAAGAATATTTCTTATTCGGTTTCACTGGGATTTAAAAAAAATGATTTAAAAGAATATCGTTTGGCCATCTTTGGAATAATAACCGCAGTTTGTCCCCGTTTGTTTCACGGAGCTGGATGTTTTGGGCAGGTATGCACACTGAAAACACATGCCAGCCTACGTGACGGTACAGAACATACAGTCAGTCCTGGAGACGTCACGAGCTCAAAGCTGCAGGCAGGCAGTCAGACTCAGCGCGAGAGCCAGACTGAAGAGAAGCGGAGAGAAAGAAGAACCCGCTCATCTGCTCATAGAATTCGGTAAGTTATCACATATCCAAAAACTGTATTTAATTTCTCCGTGCGTGATACATGTCGGGTCGAGTTTGAGTCAGGATTGCATTATTAGGCTGCTGCTGTGGATTGACAGCTTCACTCTTCTTTCTGAGCTTGCTTTACTAAAATTGCGCAACATATTTACAAGCAATGAAGCTTGATAGCATATCATATGTCAAACTTAATCAGCATCATGTCTATCTGAAAACACTTACTGTAGATGCTCACCGGACCGAACATTTGAAAAGAGAAATATTAATACAAGCTAAAGCAAACTTTACTCCAATGCTTTTAAATGCTGTTAAACCTGTATGCTTTCTCAATGAAATATCCTTAATGTGAGTGAAATAACGCACTGTTTATAAAACATTAAATCAGTCAAATTAAACCACACTGGGGGTCATAAAGTTGCTGTACAAAATAATCTCAAAAGCATAAATCATCATCATATGTGACGCTGTTGTCAAAACCGAGAGTTTGCTGGACATTAGATGTGTTTATAAATACTTCGCAGCTGTCATTAATATCTTAATAATTCAAGTTAGCAATATATATGAGTGAGTTTTTGATATGGAATGTCTTTTTTTTAAATAATAGTAAAACTAATCATTCTAAGAATAGATTAACAATTTTTTTATTGTCTGTAATTACGTACCCTATTTTTTTAAGACTGTTGAAAGCAGTAAAACTAAAGAATCAGGTTGACAAAAATGGACATACATTTTTTTTTTACGCCAAGATTTTAGGACTAACTTCATATTCTCACAAATAAAGGTTGATTATTAGCATCGACGGCTCCATGAAGAACCTTTAACATTCATTGATCTTTCCCATTACACAAAAAGGGTTCATATTATTAAAATATTTTTCACACTAAGAAAAAAAAAGGATTCTTTTAAGAACTGCTAACAGAAAGGTTCTTTGGGGAACCCAAATGGTTCTTATACTGCATTGCTACAAAAACTCCCTTTTTGGAGTGTATTTTGTTGTGACTGCTCACCATTTCATAAAATAAAACTGAGAATTGTTAATCACCTTTTTAGCTTTTTGTCCAATAATTAGCCTACTTCATGTATTTACGCTATTTAATGAGGCCATAAAACTAATTATAAGCAGAATGGCTATTTTAAAATAATTAGTATATATTGTTTAAAATAGATTTGGATGAAATATATCATATTACATCAGTACTACTTTCACTTTTTGAAACGTTGTCTTGTTTGAGGTTTTGCAACACAGCACTGATAATTGTATTTCTATTAAATCCTTTATCACTAGATTCAGAATCATTTTGGACTGAATCCGGTTTTGAGTTTGATCCGACTGAGCGTCCTCTCTGTGACTGTCTCTGCTACTAGATAAAGTCATGAGCTGAACTGAATTCTATCTTATAAATAAAGGTTTTAAAGTGTCATATTCAGTCAGTGATCCTCAGGGAATCCTAGGTTTTATTCCTGGTGCAGCACATATAAACCAGACTATCTTGACCACATTCCCATCTAAACTGGACATTCATCTGATGTCCGTCGAGGTCCCATGACCTGAAGGTTTAAAGGCAATGTTTTGGTCACATTCCTGTGTCCTCACGGCCTCATTCTTTCCCACCCGCTGAACATTTCAGCTCAGTGGCCTTAGAGGTCACAGACACTTCGGAGCCTAATGAGAAAGCTGGACTCCCAAACATGCATTTGGTAATGAGGCTGAAAGTACACTTCAGAAAAAAATGGCAAGCTGTCAGCTGTTGGTGCTATCATGCAGTTGACTTTGGTCTTCTTTATGAAGAAAAATCCAATTATTTGATGACCTAGCTGAAAACTATGATGCAATACAATAAAATAAGTAGCTTTTGGTGATGTCTGCATGAAACAACATGTGTAACCAAATGTGAT